TATCGGCACATTTCATTATAAGAAACGTGTTAAAAAGAAGTATAATTCAGTAATTCTTTTTAATGTATCTCATTTCAAGTACCTTTAAGTCAGCTCTCTAACAAAAGATTCCTATTTAATCTAAAAAATAAATATATTGTTTTGATCCATACAGTGATATAAAGAAATTAACAATCAAACTTATCAAAATAAATGGAAGTTAAAAAATATAAACTTATCATTTTAAAAAATTTTAATGTTAGAGATAGGTATTTTACATTAAAAATTTCTATTAATTTATACCAAAATAATATAGTTTTCAACATACATATTCTAATAATATTAACAGTATCATTTATTTCTTTGTAAAAAGATGTATGGACATAAAATACTGTATGTTGGAGAAAATGTAATTTTATGATTGAATAACAGATATTTCGGTAAATTAAAAGACGCGATATTAATGAATATTGTCATGAATAATAAGTTGCTAATTTCATCAGTAGCTAATCATTTGTTTCTATCCAAGAATGTTCTATATCTTCGGGAAAACCGAAACTACAACCAGTATAAGAATCATGATTGATGCAATATATTAACACACTCCTCCAATAAGGATCGTGGGCTAAAAGTGTAGGATTTCCTAAAATGATAACCAAAGCACGACCTCGTGTAATTGCAACATTAAGTCTTCGAGGACATGCAACAAATCCAAGAGAGTGTTTAATATCTTCATTTATAAAATTAATTGAAGAGCGCACAGTTGAAATGATGATAACATTACGCTCTTGACCCTGAAATCCTTCAACACTACTAATTTTTGGTAATTCCACATCTAATTCCATGAGTAATTCACGAATTTGAAGAACCTGTTAAGTAATTAGTGAATAAAGTATAAAATAATTTTATAGATGTTTTTGACAAATTATGTTCAATTATATTACCTGTTTTTGATAAGGAGTTATAATTCCAATATCATCAGGTGAAATACCGCATTTATATAACTTTAGTAGATAAAGATATACTTGAGTTGCTTCTTCAGGATTATACCAGCTTGGATTGTCATCATCTTTACAATTTTCGCCATTTACACCATGAAAAATTATAGCTGGTGGTGTATCCTTTCTCTTTGGCAATTCAGTAGCTAATATTTGTAAAAGTCTGGCTTCTTTGCTTGTTTTAGAGGATACCTAAAAACATTATTTTTCTTAATTACCATGATATAAATTTAAGAAACTAGTCATCGATAATATAGATAAATGTACCTGTGCTTTTAATTCAGAATCATAAAATAATGAACTTGATAATTCTAGTATTTCTGGTAAACTTCTATAATTTATAACAAGCTTTGTAACAAGTCGAGGATCATAACATGTTTCAAAGCCATTAGGATCTTTTTGGTAAGGAAAATGACGTAGCAATCGTGATAAAAATGATTCGTTTAAACCAAAATTCTTCGCTATTTCACTTTGTACAACTGGGCCAAGTTGTAGTGGATCACCTGCGAGAATTACTTGCCCATAGTCACAACGAATAAAACTAAGTGGAATCATAATTTCTGGTTCTGTTGCTTGACCAGCCTCATCAACTAATATATGTGAAAAATGTCCATGAGGAAAGCCCATATTATTTAATATTCCTAGTGCAGTACAGGTACCAATAGTAATTCTATGACGTCCAAGTATACTCATAGTACAATTTAATTTTAGTCCCACTCCATTATACTTTGGCGTTTCAATTGTTGTTTCATCTGCTAATTCTGCTGTAGCACAATATGGCAATAATTTACTAGGTATAGAATCACTACCCAAACAATGATAAGCTATGAGTCGTACCTAAAAAAAAGAAAAGTATTTAAATTAAATTTAAAAAGTTTATAGTTTATACTTTTATTGCAACTTTCAAATAAGATAGTATGTGTAAACAGAATTAAACAGAAAAGATGAAAAATCAATACAATATCAATGTTAATTATCTTCAAATTTATTTGTGAAACTATTTTTGTTCTGTTATTGTTATTTATTAAAAGTTTGAATTAAATCCATGTAAAATTACAGTAGAATGGGATTATGTAAATTTAATATATACCATATCACCAGGTTTAAGTATATCACTATCTAAAAGTCTTTCTGCTATAAGAGTTGCTGAACTATTAGATGGTGTTGCAACTAATAATCGACTTTCAGGTATAGTTGATAAGATTTGCAGAATTGTTTCACAAAGAGTAATGGTTTTTCCTGTACCAGGTGGTCCAAATATTACATAAGGCAATGGTCGTGCCTGTCCTTTTAAAATGTTTCTTACAGCTTCTTTTTGATAATGATTCAAATTTTTATTAAACCAAAGCAACTTTCGTTTTCGTACTTGTGAAATAATTGGTTGTAATTCACTACTATAGGAAGAAATTGATGTCTCTTTTGAATTTTGTATTGCTGTATTTATTGAATTTTTCGTAACATTTGCTTCACTTTTTGTTTCAATACATTGTTTGTCTTTTACATCAGGTTCTATTGTATTTTCCCTATTTTGTTCAATAGGTTCAACATTAAATAATCGTTGTACAACTGACATTTTTGTAAATGATTTTGACATATTAGATTTATTACTTGTAGATGTAGTACTAGTGGAAGAAGATTCTGACGATACAGAATCAGTCCGCGGACGAGTTAGTAACTTAGAAATTGACTTATCTTTTGCTTCAAGTTCTTCAAGATCTAACTGAGATTCTTTTTCAATTACATGAGTGGGAAACAAAAAGTTCTGACCAAGACGATTTGTAGCCATATCAATTGCATTATGACAACGTTGTATGGCTGATCGTGAACATTTAAATGTTACTTGACAATCTTCATAATTATATTTTTGATGAAATTGGCAATTGAATTTCAAAAAAATTTCCAAGTTTGTAACTTTGTGAATAAATCCTTCATATTTTAATTTTCCTATTTCGAACATCATTAAAATTTATAAATAAAAAATTATAAAATAATTAAAATAAATAATAATAACTACTGATTAATATAAACATCAACCATATTATGGTATAAAATTTTATAATGCAATTTCATTTTAAATTTTATAACATACCTTGAGAACTATCCCACTTGAAAGATACTATGGCCCTATCACCAACAAGAAGAGAAGGACGTTTCTCTGCAAGCCCTGGCACTTCCATAACCAAATATTCTCCACAGTGTCTCATTACTGTGCTACTTATATTGTATCGTTGCATATTTATCGTTTGAGCAATTTCTTCCAGATATAATAAAGCATGAAACCGATCTCTATATGATTGAAAAGAAAGTCTATTTGACAAACAAGATATAGCATTTTCTATATCATATTTACACTCAGTTTGTGATTTTCTTTCATTTATGCACTTTGATATTACATCCCAATAAAGCTTAGGAATTTTGTATATCACATTTCGCACTTTAATAAATGATGGTGGTTTACATGGACGAATACCTGGAATGTATGTAGCTTCATTCCATTCATCTTGGTGTGGTACATAATTAGTTTTATAACTACTACTTTTAGAATTTGACTTGTTTTGTATAGTTTTAGGTTTAACAGTAATGTTAAAAAATCGTCCAATTTCAAAATCTTTGAACTTAAAGATAAATAATTCTTTGCTTGTACCAATAAATTTTGCTGTACATTTAAATATATAAGTTAATTTATCAGAAGGATTTAATACTGAAACTGTATTAGGAGTAATTGGTTGAATTAATATTAGTTGAGAGTGGCTTTTTTTTATCATGAAACAACCTTTACGCAATACATGAGTAGTATTACCTACATTTTCTATAGTAATTGTTAAATTTTTTTCCTCTCGTACATTTAAATCAATATTTATATTATCACTTATAACAATACCGCATTTATTTTTTACAAGTTCATTTAAATCCTTTTTTAACTTATATGAAGTATTATTTAATGTTGGTAAATTAGCTTCTTTAGAGACCTAAAAAAATAAATTTATTTTTATTAAAATTACATTTTACTAGACTTTTTATTATAAGTAATTTTTCTTGTTGCTATTAAATTATTATAAAATTGATTGAAAATGCAATTTAATGTACTCTCAAAAATTAATTGTAAAACAATTTCTGTTTGAAATGTGAATTGTGAAACTTTTCTGTTTCAAATGCTAAACTTGCCTGAAATACTGGAACCACAGTCAATGACCTCCATGTATAAAGTCCTTGATCACTCTCAATACTATCACTTATTACTTTATCACCAACACAAGGAATGTAACCAGATTCACATATGTTTTTATTAAATACAACATCCTTTTCAATAACACCAACTCCTTTAGTTGGATCAAAACTAGTTACAGTTCCAATATTTAACTTTGATCGTAAGGGTTGTATTCTTTTTATCTCTAAAATTTCTCCATTTAAATTGTAAGAAATTTCATCGATTTCTACTTCTGACTCTAATTGTAACCAGTCTCCAATTACAGGAATAAAATCAGATTGTACTTTGTTCAAGTCAACAGTGATGTTGTCAGGTTCTACAACCAATAGTCGATTCTTACGTTCTATAACTTTTCCAATTACACATCTTGTTAATGTTTCTGGTTTAGTACTATCAATCTCAGAATGTTCTACTTCATTATCCCATGATTCATTTAATACAAAAATCTTTTTTATTTTGTGTTGTTTTTCTAGATTGTCTTGCTTTGGTGAGAGCAAATAAGAAACTTTATCACCTACTTTTAAGTTACTTATTGAAGTGTTTTTTATATCATAAACATAAAAGTCATCAACTACTATGTAATCTGTGGCAATAAAACTAATACTTCCTGTTTTGTAATAACTTGCATCCGTATTAAAACTTTCATCTTCTTTCATTTCTTTTCTATACACATTTTCAATGCGAGCTATAACATTGTTTATTTCTTCATCTGGTTCGTCTTTAATGGATGACCTATGTCCTATAGCATACTTTATAAGGGTACATATAAATGAAAACATATTTAATTTCTATTATATCTATCCATGTACCTATGAAAATTTATTTTTGTCATTAAAATTCACGTAAACATTGTATATAAAAAGGTATTTGCAACTTAAAAGCTTCGAATAATTAAGATATACCGATCAATTGACTGGTATCTCCACTCTGTTGCCTTAATGTAATCCAATTCTTTCCTTAATGATTGAACGCGTTTTAAGTGTAACTCTCGAAGTAGACGATCCTGTTGCTTTTGCTCCTGTAACTCGGATTTCATTTGATTCAAAATTTTCGAAGTTTGATTCCCAACAGAGGTTAGTTCTGAATCCTGAGATTCCGAAGCTCTTTGTCCCGGTGAGTGGCTCAAACTTCCAGATGACAAAGTAGAGGAATTCATAATTTTATGAATAACTTGTTATGAGTAACGTTTCAAAATCACACATACCGTTTAGTAATTTTTAAATTGTATATATATAGTTTTCTCTTTTCTAAAATGGTACCACTCGTTTACATCAAATGTAGTAAACGCCGTTTACTGTATAAATGTATCAGGATATATATATATATATATATATATATATATATATATATATATATATATATATATACAGAATTTTAGCAGAATATATCAGTCTATAATCTATATGTACATTCAAACCAAACAAAATTATGTACTTATTAATATTAACTGACCCTATTTTAATTGCAAATTATATTTAGAAGATACAAATTTTTTTTTACAAGACATGATGAAGATGACAAATTTCCAACCAGTTAAGATAAAAATATTTTGTTTATATACATTATTAATAATGATTTTTAACATAAAGTTCAATTCGTGAACTATATTGAGTATTTAATTTTTGACGATTAATACTCTAGTCATTACAGTAAATAATTAAAAACAATAAAAATTTTTGTTATAACTATATTAATTACATTTTTATAATAACCCTTACACGTACTTAACACGAAAACAATGATTCTCCTAGATAGTTCTTTCAAATTTTTCAAACCTATTTCTAACAAGAACCCAATATGATTCTTCTCCCTTTTTCGCTTAATATATTCTTTACATAAATTTAAAGTACGTCAATATTAAATTACCAAAAAGAAAACATGAAAAAGAGCCGAGTAAAACAACTTAATGTTAGTACATCACAGCATGATTTTTTAGTAAAACCTTATGGATTTTGTTGTGATATCAAAGACTACGACCCAAAATTATTCTCATTAAAAGAAGAGCCCGAGCCACTTTTTCCTTCAAGCGGTCCACTCGAAGGAGGACCTGATATTAAATTCCGCCTTCAAGAACATGACGACATCCAATCTTTCAGACAACGAAGTATCCAAAGAAATGCTCAACGAGGTGGACTTCGGAGTAAATATCGAAGTGGTCAACAAGTTATTTGGGGCAACCAGTCGTATGCCCAACCGTATCGACGTCGTAGGTACCGGACCCCCAGACTTGAGGGTACTGTAAAAGTCCCTGAAGATAGAACCCAAGGTAGAACCCCAGATAGAGGTAGAGACATTGAAACTTTGGGTGAATTAATGATATGTAAACGATGCAGAGGACCTCTCCGATGGTATTTAGAAGACGAAATAGCAGCTGCTCGTGACATTATGATGAAGAGAAAGCAAGAAATATACAAGGCAGAAATGGAAAAGAACATTAAAATTGCTAAACAGAAAGGTATACGATTCGTCTCAATTATGCATATAAATTATTGCAAAGCATTTACAAAATTAAGTTTTTTTTCAATTATTTTATATATAGAAATACTAAAATAAGATGATTAATTTTGTTCAAGTAATGCTAAGAAGAAGTAATATAAAGAATGCGCTATGGATATTGTGATTTTTCTTTTTTAATAATACAAATTTAATCATTCATTTCTTTTTTGTACAAAAAGGTGTCTATTGTAAAATTATTAAATTTTTTTGAAAAGAATATTAAAAAAAATAAATTTTGATATATTTTTATATTATCATAGTTTTAATAAATTTAATTTGAGAAGTAATCTTATTCCTTGTGCACATCTTCAATAAACATTTCTTACATGATATTATTACATAGAAAAATTAAGACATTAACTTCTTTTATATAGAAAATAGAAGACGACGAAGAAGGAAGAAAAAATTAAGCAAATTTTATGAGGATACATTCAAAGGAGATATATTTATATAGAGAAGATACATGTGAAGACAAATAAAAAGATATAACATAAAAGAAAGAACCTAATATAACATTTTATGTAATAGAAATGTTTACATAATCTCATGTTTATTAGAGAATGAAATACTATGAATACATTATGCAAAAATTACATGAGGTTGATTTCTTCCAATGCTTTAGTAATATCTATAACTCAAAATTACAAATACGCTTATATATATACATAAATATATGAAATTAAAAGTAAGTAAAATGACTATTTCACCATTTTTCATACAAAGCATATTTTCATAAATATTGAACTAAATTTTCACCAAATTTTTTCTGCAACACGCAATTTATTTCACTACATACGTTCATTAAAATTATTTATAAAGTTACATATAAGGTTATTTATAAAGTTTATAAAGTAGTATATAATTACACACATATATCAATACTGCTTTATTAGAGCATAATTTATTAGCATTCAAGAAACAGAAGAATTTGAATCCATAGAAATACCTGAAACCTCTCCTATTCTTTTGAAATTACGATTAATTTTAACATTAATGAACCAATCTTAACATATCTTAATATCGAACATTTTTCATTAATTCATAAGAATTTCTTATTGTAAATTTGAAAAATAATCTGTTTCTTAAATGCCAACATATATGGATTGAATAATATATATGTGGTTAATTTTTTTAACACAGTATAAAAGTAATGTTTAGATTTCGTATTTACGCATGTTATTTTGTCGCGAAAAAACCATTTATGGAAAATCAGTTGTACATATATATATATATATGTATATATATATATATATATATATATGTATAATATTATACATACATATATGTATATCAACTATAAATATATTAACAATATCACTCTTAAAGACGTTTGATGTTATTATTAAGCATTATTCAAATACAAAAACCGTACCTTTTCGATAAGAATGATCGGCTGTGTGGAGAAATGCGCAAATAACTAGAAATTACCTTTCTGTTCTTTTGTGTCAAACTTAATAAACATTTACTATTTATTGGGAAAGACAGAAACTACCCAGTTACAATAATCAAATTTTTATAATTTATTTAGTTAAAATATTATTTTATGTTTTCTTTCCAATTATTTTTAAAAGATGAAGAACACTATATAGTATGAAGTTTAGCAATTAATATTTATTTTTGTTTCAATAAAAACTAATATCTATAAACAAAGAATTTAATTTTTTTTATCTTTTTTATCTCTTTTTTTATCATAAATTTGGCATAATTTTATAAAATATCTGTTGAATCATAGAATTTTTCCTTAAATTTGTAATTAGTACCTTAACAATAGTAATAATAATAGTAATATATTTATATCATTATCTATGTAGGCTCTATGAACAATTGTAATATTTTAAAGCGGAACTTAATTTTTTATTAAATCACTACGTCTGCAGTTAATTTAATAAACTAAAAAAGTTACATAATTTATATTTTTTTGATGAACCATTGAATATAGATATATATAAATAAAAAAGGTAGAAAATTACATATATTCCTATTAATAATTCAAAATCTAATTCAAAATGAATATTTTAAAGTATATAAATTTATATAATTTTTATATATTATATCAAATTTATATATGATTTTGTTAAATAGACATTTAGGTATCTAAACATATCTCTGAGATACTATTGACCTCTTTTTTATTTTATGCTAGAATACACTGTATTGGAACAGAAAAACAATTTTGAATAACTATACATCAAATGTATCCTTTGTTATTCTTTGGCAAAGTACCAGAAAATTATACTGCAATTAAAAAACAATATATATTGTAATTATTGAATATTCCATTATCATTTTTTATAAAACTAGTTTCTTTTATAATATAAAAAAATTTCTATATTTTAATATAATTTGATCAAACAATACAAACTACTGCTCTTAATTATGTACTAAAAAGATAAAAAATAGCATAAAAATAAAAATAATGTTTTATACTCCAGATTTTTATATTTAAAGCTGCAATATTCATTTAGGAATGTTGTCCTTTACTGAAAGCTTCTGTTTTGTTTCTGGTAAAAGCACATTTTAATATTATTCTCTATGTATTTATGATAATCTTCGTATTTCTTTTCATGCAAGATATTATTCATATAGACAAAAAGTTTTAAATTAAACGTAGATCTCTTTAAAAAAAGCAAGTGACCTTCATTTTGAAGAGGTAATTTTAGTATCATTCATAAGTAACAGCATCATGAAGTGTTTGTATGTAATCATTCTGATATTTTAGGATCATCATCTTGCCTATCAGTAATCTTTTCAGAAACTATCACATCGATCAATGGCTCATCATTCTGCATATTGCTTACATCAGAGCAACCTTTAGAGTTCATTATATTAACATTTACTTCATCAGTGTCTCGTGTATAACAGTCTTTGTTATTAGATTTTTTTGTTTCATCAATACTCAAGATGTTAGTTTCTTTTTTTAAAACACTTATGGAAGTATCTTTCCCTGTAGTTTCCCCTAGTGTTTCTACAGATTGTTCCCTCACAATTTCTTTTAAGTTGGATGTATTTCCATCTTTAACATTCTCAGAACACTGAATGTTTATATTTGGTTCACTTATTTCCATTTCAGTATTACATATTTGTGATTTTGATATTATTACATTATCTTGTTCTTTTCTAACATCTTCTAAGCCACTTTTAGTATCTGATGAGTCTGAAATTGTACTCAATGTTACGTTCTGTATTGTACTTGATAAAACTTCTTCACTCACAGTTTCTACTCCACCATGTATTTTAATGCCTTGCATTTCATTTTTATCACTATATGTCTCTATTTCAGCTTGTGCCTTTAAATGTTCTAAATTTTCTGTTATTTTGTCAATTTTGTTTGTAACAATACTATTGTTATGGTCATTAAATGTATCTTCATCTTCTCTTGGTTTATCCATTTCCATATTTTGGACTATTTCATCTACAGTAAGTTCTACAATATAGTCAGTATTCAGACATAAATTATCTGTGTTTTCTTCTATTTCTTGATTTTTACTTTCACTACCTTCTGGTAATCTGTTTATATCTATGTCTTCTCCCTTGTTTGTTTCATTCACTCCTTTTATTGCAGCATCTTCAGATATATTTTCCACAAATGGTACTAAAATATCAGTAATATTTTTCCCATCAAAACTTAATTTAACAGAGAGAAGATTACTGGTATCATCAAGAATCTCACACTGAAACATTGTTTTTCCACCTGCAGTAAGTTCTTCAAATATTGCGCGAGCATCTAAAGGCCACGAATTTATACTGTTTGGTTTTTTCAGAGCACAACATTTCGATAAAGGAGGGACATTTATAATGTCTGCTGGTAACGTTCGTGTTTCGTTTGTAATCGTTATGTCGCCATAATCTATACACAGAACTTCAGTACCTTCTTTAGAATGTGAAAGAATTTTTGCTCTGCGCCATTGACCATTTTCTAAATACTTTGCAGCACAAATAGTACCAATGTCAAATATACTTAATGGAAGAAAACTAGGTGCTGCTTGTAATCTCTCTAACATTTTATTTAAATCTGTAGTGTTGCTTTCTGCTTGAATCCAGAATTTATTAGGTGAATTGATGCAACTAACAAATACATTTGATAAATTTGCTTCACCCAAGGGAGATAATCGTTTCTCTATGATCGGTGGTTCACAGAATTTTGCAAGTATATCTGTTACATTTTTACCATTTAGTGTTAATTTTACCAATGATGTTTCACCTTCATCAATTACGTCTAACAAAAATATAGCTGCTCCTTCACCTGATAATCTTACAAATTCCTTACAAGCTTTTTCTGACCATTTCGTAATCCCTTCTGGCATAATTAAACGACATTTTCTTGATAGAGGAGGTACATCTACAAGATCTACCGGTAGAGCACGTATTTCGGTTGAGGTAGCTGAATTTCCATAATCTATATATATAACTTCTGTAACACTATCACTGTGTGATACAACACGTGCCCTATACCAACATTCATCATCAGGATATTTAGCAACACACAATAAATTTTCTTTAATTTCATCCACTTTGGAAAACAAATGTGCTACAATAAATCTATCAGCCATAATTTCTAAATCACCAATAGATTTTTCTTCTTGAACCCAAAACTCATTTGGAGAGTTAATATGAGATACAAAAGCAGAATAGGGATCCAATTCAAGGTCAACTATTTCATCTATTAATTCTTCTTCTGTATGAATCTTTACAGCATAATGATTTTCGACTAACATTTCACTGACACTTTTACCATTTATTAACAAGTCTACTCGTTTTGGAACACTATTTGCTATTACCATGGCTTCCACAGACTCAACTTTTACTAAACTTTCGAATCTTTTACAAATTGCAGAATTCCAATCTTCTGCTTCTGCAGGAATAACATCTAATCTGCATTTAACTGCATATCCCTTTATTTCTTTCCACTCATCTGGCAACTGTCGAATCTTTCCAGATTTATTATTGATGATATCTGTAGATCCAAGATCGATAAGTCGAACAGTGGTGATATCTTCATCGGCATCGAGTACCTGTGCCCTATACCAGTAACCATTTATATTGTTCGAAACAATGCATAGACTTCCTTCTTCTAATATTCCATCTATCTCTGGAAATGTAAGTGCATCCTGTTGAAGTTGCGTATGTTTACTATGCAAGTCTGAGTAATCATCTTCACGGCGAAGCCAGAACTGACTAGGTGAATCTGCATAACTTACAGAGACTTTATATTTACAACCCTCTGTCATATTATAAATTGTAGCTTCTGTCGGTCCATATATCTTCTTTTCTGATATTAAATTAAGAGAACGGAATTTGCTACTGAACTTTTCTCCATTATATAGCAATTCCACTACCCATCTTTTGTTAACATTATGAAAAACGCAGGTAAGACCTTTCCCTCTCAAATGATGTTCTAATATATTTGATTGTTCAAATACTGTACCCTTAATTATTACTGATAGTGAGACATTAATAGCGAGCTGGTGTGGTGTATAAAACCGTGAATCTAACATCATTACTCTATTATGGGGCATAAAGGCAGAATTGCCAAAATCAATGTAATTTATATAAATTCCCCTCTTTTCAGAAATACCTATAACCCTAGCTCGATACCACT